AGTTATGGAACAAAATTCAAAAAAGTTTTGGACAATAACTTGATCTCCATGATTGTTCTATGAGTGGACTTTTATAGTTTTGTGCTTTTCTAGGAAGTGGAAAAACTTATACAATGAAGCCACTGCCACTTAAAGCGTCAAGGGACATCCTTAGATTGATGCATCATACTTACAGGAACCAGGGATATCAATTGTTTGTGAGCTTCTTTGAAATATACGGTGGCAAGCTGTTTGATCTCCTTAATGATCGGAAGTAAGTCAAGTGTCTTCTTGTAAGCGCCTGTAATCTGTGTTCTTGAGGTTTAATGTTGTACTTGTGCAGAAAACTTTGCATGAGGGAGGATGGTAAGCAGCAAGTTTGCATTGTGGGTTTGCAAGAATACCGAGTTTCGGATGTGGAGAACATCAAAGAACTGATTGAGAGAGGAAACTCCTCAAGAAGTACAGGCACAACAGGTGCAAACGAGGAATCATCACGGTCACATGCAATACTTCAGCTTGCTATCAAGAGGTCAGTTGATGGCAATGAATCCAAACCTCCCCGTTTGGTTGGGAAGCTCTCCTTCATAGATCTTGCTGGAAGTGAACGAGGAGCAGATACCACAGATAATGACAAACAGACAAGGTATGGTTGAGCTTGAATTATTTAGGGGTGGATTTATCTGTTACTTATTGAAGTTAAAATAGTTAAGGATATCTCAATCTCAGATTTGGGAATCTATCATGAATTATATGCATCCCGTATGCATTCTGATTATAGTCTAAATGTCTAATATTTTTTTGTTTTTTTGTTTGTTTACTATTATATGATTCAGAATAGAAGGTGCTGAAATCAATAAGAGCTTACTTGCCCTAAAGGAATGCATAAGAGCTCTTGACAATGACCAAGGACACATCCCTTTCAGAGGCAGTAAATTGACTGAAGTTTTGAGGGATTCCTTTGTTGGCAATTCCCGCACTGTTATGATATCATGTATATCACCAAGCTCTGGTTCATGCGAACATACTCTGAATACATTAAGATATGCTGACAGGTATCGGTGAATTTCTGTTAAATGTTTTCTATCCCCCTACCACAGCTCACAGCTCACACAAACACTGCAAAACACATCCACTAATGTGCTCAAAAGGGTAAAGAAAAATAACAGTTTCGTATCACAAACCAGGGTAAAAAGCCTATCGAAAGGGAACATTTCAAAGAAAGATGTTATGACGTCAAATGTCAACCTTAAAGAATCAAGTACAGTTCCCTTATCTTCCGTTACTGGGATAGCCTATGAGGATCGAATGACAGATGGATGGCCGGATGAAAATGAAGGGGATGATTTTAGTCCCCCTGAAGAGCATTACGAGCAGGTGAAACCATCTTTGAAGAAAAATGGAAAGGTGGATTCATATGCTACAACAGAGGACAAATTGAAGAAACCCAGTGGTCAGATCAAATGGAAGGAGCTCCCAAAAGTTGAGCCTCAAACCACACATGCTGAGGATGATTTAAATGCCCTCCTACAGGTACGTTATTGGCTACTGAGATAATGGTTATCTAAAAACCCCAGGGCTCACCTAAAGCATGTCATTATTTCAGGAAGAAGAGGACCTTGTAAATGCTCACCGGACACAAGTAGAGGAGACCATGAATATTGTTAGAGAGGTATTTAAAGTGTCTCTGTTATGTTCTACATCTTCATTTATTCTTTTACGGAACCGGGTCATGTGTCTCAAACCTTCGAAAAACAATTGACTAGTTGTACTTGTAGCAAGTCACCACAATTGTCCTTAATTATTCCTCACGACCAGGGTAGTGAGATAAAATAGCATAAACCAGAATTGTGTGCACGTTTTCATCAAACACGTTGATATACTCACCAAACTTCAATTTACTGAATCTCTTACTGATTGTGGCCCGTGGTTACAGTGTTATTCGTTCTAGCTTCGAGGAATAATGAATAGGTCCTACATGCGAGAAACATTAATTTGTGAACACCACCGCTGCCACTGCATCCTTCCAAGGAACAGTGCGAAGTCCATTTCTCATCATATTTTTATCTTAATTGGCATGCAGGAGATGAACCTCTTGGTCGAAGCAGATCAACCAGGGAATCAGCTGGATGATTATATAACAAGATTAAATGCCATTCTTTCTCAGAAGGCTGCTGGCATCCTGCAGTTGCAAACCCGTTTAGCTCATTTTCAGAAACGTTTAAAGGAGCATAATGTTTTGGTTTCATCTACCGGTTACTAGTATCTTTTAAAACAGACTCCCTAATTAAAAAGGTTTTATTTCGGTTTGGTGGTCCGAATCATGCATTACTGTGATTCAGGTGGAGATTATGCGAAAGCTGGGATATGACGTGGTCTCTTTTTAGTTGATTCATCATTGTTTTGGCTATTTTCCCCGGGATAAGAAACTGAGGGTTGGAGTCCTCATTTTTCTAATGTAGACATTTATTGGTTTTACATGCCCCTATCAAGGCAATGTATCTGTGTATAAAGCTCTCAAATGTGCCAGAAATATAATATAAAACCATTTGTGTTTTCACTTATTAACTTAAGCTTTTAGAATAATGAAGTAAAGGCACTCTGACCAAGTGGTCTAGTTGCCCCCATCTTTTAATAATAAATTTTTTTTGAACTTTAGTACAACAAGTAAATAGGTATGTTCAGATTACTCTAGACCTCAAGTTTAAAGGACACTTGTATGAGATGGTATATTACAAATATAAAATTATTCAGATGTCTTTACTTAACAATTCTATGATTTTTGGATATTTGATTTAGTATGACAAATTGATGTTTGATTGATGAATGGGATGTTGATATTTTTCTCGATGTCTTTACAGTAGGTTGTGTCCGGGAATGAATCGGTTCTTATAGTTATAAATTCAGATTATAGACAGTAGGTTGTAAATTTATAATTTCTGTCAGCCTTTTTAGCATAGGTTTAATGGATGTGTATTGCAATCGTAAGTTAAATCAATGTTTGACTATTAATTTTTATAAAAATTAATGAATTTATTATTTATAGTGGTGTGTGATTAGATAAGAGTTAATTATTTATACACTGTCAGTATAAATTTTTTTTACACTACAACCAATCATATCTTTTAAATAATTTTATTTTATTTTTATTTTATTAAATAAGTAACTAATGTGACACTATTAAAATATATGATTGGTTGTTAGTGTAAGAAAATTTTACACTGACGATATATATGTGATTAACTCATTAGATATTTGTGTAAATTGTTTTACATGTCTGATGCAGTCTTTTTTTTTTCTCTATATAATATAATTATAGTTAACCTATTGGCCATAAGTGAAAATGGGAGTTGCAAAAGATCCTGAACTTTTTGGTTTTTTACATTTATAATTTCATAATATTGTCATGAAAGGAATGACGTAGTAACTTTAGTACAGATCAACGAGATTAACAAGGAGAATAAGTGGCAACAATTTGTTGATAGTCATATTGACGATTTTGACTTTGACAATGATGTGGATACTTGTTAATATGACAGGTCCAAACTTAAATAAGTTGTCCCCAAACATTGAAGAGTGTAGTTAGGTTCTAGATTTTATAAAATAAATCCTTAAAATAATCTTATTCTACAAAGTTATAAATATTTTTTTTATGTTAAATATATATTTTTAGATAATATATAATATTTTTACTCATTTTTCTATAATTTAAAGATATTATTTGATTCCTTTCATTAAAAAGGTAAAACAATGCAGCCTAATTAGTAGATAAATATTTTTTTTTATCAATTGACTAGAATTTGATTTGTCAATTTGGTGATCTCTACGCTTCTAAAATAATTAAACTCCAAAAAGTAAAACAATTTTATATTAATGCATTTGATAATATTAATTCATTTTAGATAGGTTAAAGAGTATAAAACTCAGTAACAAGTTAAACCATATTTAATGCATTTTTTTTCATTAAATCAAAAGGGACAAATTCTCTTAAAATAAACAGTGAAAAAATAAACTCTTTTTAAAAGTGAAAATCAAATTCATACATCTCAAATTCAAAGAAAGTTAAATGAAAAACTTTTAAAAGGTTAAAAATACATATATTAATTTTAATTTATTATTTTTTAATCATTTTAATTTTTTATTTCTTTTTCATATAAATACTTTTTAAAAAATAACCTTATGTCATCTCAACTCATGCATTTAAAAAAAACTATCAATTTTGATACAAACTGTATTTAAAAATATTCGAAAAACATATTAGTCTAACAAAATTGTCTATATATATATATATGAAAAAGAATCCGTTTATTCCATCAGTAAGTTTAACTATACTTACTCCGTTCAATAACTCATATTCTACATCAAATTTTAACATAAAAAAATCATTTGATATATTGATTTGAATTAATGAAACGAAGTTTGATGTGGAACATAAGTTCTTAATGCATAGATCAAATTTGTAAATTTTTAAAAAATTTAAAAATTATTTGATATTTCATTACATTAATTCAAATGAATGTATAAAATGACTTTATGATTATCCGTCAATTTGAATTAATAAAATGAAGTATTTAATGATTTTCAAATTTTTTAAAAAATTTACAGATTTAATCAATGCATTAATAACTTTAAATTCAACAGTTGGATCGTTGAAATTTAATATAGAACATGAGTTGATACACTTACTCGTTGAGTGAATGGGTTCCTCTTCTATATATATATATATATATATATATGCAAGACATGACTTCTCTTCGATGTGAAACGAAAATTTGATTATTTACATTCTCCTTAACTCTGCAAGACGACTGCAACTTGGGTTTCAGACATTGAAGTCTGAAGCCATAAGCAGAAACCGAAACTGTTTAAAAACAGATACTGTGTGTACGTAGTTATCACTACAGATCGAATACATTTGTGTTTTCTAATAATCAAATAAAATTTGAAATTCTGTTAAAATCTTGCCATCCCTTAGAAAGAAACCATTTCAAATTGGAGAAATTGACTAACAAGGCTAGAGATTCTTATTTTCCAAGTAATTCATTTTTTATGAGTGGACAATATAGATTCAATTCAACATTGAAATAACCAGAAGAAAAAAAGGGGGGGGGGGGGTATAAATATAGGGAATTCACACCAAACAAACTCAAATCGCTCAGCAGCAAACTGGGAGAAGGAAAATCAGACACAAAATAATGAGACAAAACAGTTGTCATATACACTACTACTCGAACATTGTATGCGTTAAGAATATCTTATCTACAACCTGATTGAGCCAAGCCTTCCCTTTGACTTGGAGCGTTTGATGCTGATAGAGGACTGTGGAACTGATATTTCAGTGTGCATCTCCGTGAAGAACTTGTCCACAATGTCTAAATAAACAGGACTTGTAAGGCGTGAATAGTAGTGAAGTGCTTCTTCTATGTCAAGCACGTGCTCAACATCACCAGAATCCATCATCTCCAATTCCTTCATTTTTTTTGCTAAATCATGAATTCCCTCCTTCATGCTTTTTGAATTCAAACACTCCTTCTTTGCCACCAGACAATTCCCTTTGCTTTTCTTCTCTTCTACTACTCCATCTTTAGCAATGCTTTTTGGTGAACTCTGCTTTGTGAGGATTTCAGTGTTTGCAGCATCTCCAATTGCTTGGTCTCTTGACCGGCTCATGCTATTGGCATCACCCCTTTTTATTCTGTTCAGATCAGACTGCAGCATGTCATAAAACTCATTGTAAAACTGATCGCTTGTGTAAGTTCTCGCATTTCCACTGCGACCAAGGAATGGATTGAAGGAGAGAGATCTTGGTAGTTTTTGGTACCCTCCAAAGATGACAGACTTGAAGCTTCGGAAGGTCTTGTGAAACAATAGCTTGGTCTTGCGAATGGTTTCTCTAAGCAGCATTTGTGGTTCAAATGTGAGAAGGCAAGGTTTCTCTCCTTGAGGCTCTAAAGTCTTCCAGAGCAGACAGAGTGTTAATCTGCTCCAGTTCTCGTGTGTGCTCTACAATTTTGTCCTGACTCAAGTTTGCATATAAAGAGACGTGCGGATAGTAACTATTCCAAAGGTTACCAAAAGAGAAAAACAATTGTACTCTAAAGGGTGGTATTTTCTTCATGTCTAGGTTTCAACTCTACCTTTTTGTCTACGCTTATCTGTCCCTTTCAAACCTTCTCTCTCAATATAATCAAGATTAAATGCATGTTTGGTTTTGTGTTGGAGATCTACCATACCCCTTAAAACCGCGTCAAAAAAAAGGAAATTGATGGAGAAATAAGCTGAGTTATTTTTTGTTGATTTACGTCTGAATGTAATTGATGTGTTACCAATCATACATTAAATCTGGTGGCTACATGATAATCTGATAATTATCGGATCTGAAAGGGCTAAAAGACTTTAGAGACTCAACAATTTGAGATATTTTGCCCGCTGATCTTGTGCAAGTTCCTCTTTGGATTAAAGACAATTGAAGAAAAGGTTACAAGTTTGGGGACTTTAGTATCTAAATTATCACAAATATTGTATTGATTTTGACTACATGCTGTTTAAAGTGCAATGGCATTGATTAAGATGCAAAGCTAAAGGTGACGCGTGGCTAAAAGAGTAAAACAACAACAGCGTACCAACTTCTTGTTAGCCAAATTTGAAACCTTAGACCCCTAAATCAAATAGTCCTTCAATAAAATTCTTTCAGATGTCACTTTTTAGAATGCTAATTTGTTTTAAGATCTATATTAATAGTATTTACTTAATCCGCTATCAGTTACTTCTTTTAACAAAAAAGTTCACTATTGGTCATTGAGAAGAATTACTGGTAGTCTTTCTCATATACCAAATCCGGTTAATTAATTGGCATCAGTCCCTAGGCCTTGTGAAGGAGAAATCGTTCTTTATTTGTAAAGAAAGACGGGCATGGTCCCAAATCCCAATCTATAGTGAGAAATGAAATGAGAAGGACTGATTAGATATGAAGATAAGATGAGATGCATTTCGTTTCCCGTACTGTGTGGTCACTTTCGGACACTTGCCAGCGTTTAAGTTCTCCACCCACCTCTTCCTAAACCATAAGGTTAAATTCAAAAGAGAGAGAGTAGTGGTACATAGTTGTTTCTTCTTGGAAAAATTGTGCCCTGTAACGAAAGCTGCTGAACTATGGCAACTGACATAACCTGTAGAAGCAGGATCACGGATTGTATGTGATGAAAATTGAAACTAAATTTCTCATTATGAAGATGTTGTTGGTGATATTTGGCAGACCGGTCGATGTTTAAGATGAAAAATATTAATGGAAAGTACGTCATGGAACAGCCAGATAATTAGACTCGGTGTAATGATCAGAAGGGGAACCGAAATAAATAGTCAGAGTGAAGAAATTAAACATGATTTTAATTATGGCACTCCCAAATAGTTGTAAGAAATTTCACAATTATGGTAAGACATTAATGTCTAGTGTGGCGATATTGGTCCAAGGACCTACATATGGAGGGAGGGGCGTTAGAAAGTGCTATAAATTATCTGGAATATTAAAGAATGAAGCTAAAGGGGGACCCATGCAGACATGCACGTAAACCAATGATAAAGTTTTAAAATTCGGGCGCCAACATATATTAGTTGGGTACCCGTGGCATACGTCACACCGACACAATACCCTCTTCCTCTTGCAGGAACCCGCCAATCCATTTAAAAGAAAATAAATTAGAGGATGGTTTCGAACTAATCGATTATCCATTAGATTCAACTAAATTAATGGATTATTTAACCAATTCATTATAATCAAACTAAAAAAAATATTACCGGATTTCACCTCTATTATATGTTGTTAAGGAATGAAAAAAAAAAAAACAAACAAACAAACCACATTCACAATCTTGATCCCTCTTTTTTTTTTTTGGTTTTATGCTTCTTCTTTCTTCTTTTTTTTTTTCTTTCCGTTTTTAGGTCGATGGTAAGGCAATATAATGGCATGGAGACAACAGGCTTAGAAACAAAGAGGCCCAAATAACGCAATGATGGTTTGTAACCTAGAAAAACGAAACCCAACACTCAAACAAGAACAAAGGAGTCTAATACCCAATCCTGTAGGCCCAATTTATGATTAACAATACCCTGTTAACGTATAGGCTCATGATATATACACTTCTTTTTTTTTTAATAAGTATACCTCTTTTTTTAAAAAATTATAAAATATTAAATTTAAAAAAAAAATTAATTTTATACTTTCAACTTTCAATTTGCTACTTTCTTCTTCTTATTCACACACTTTTTTTTTTTCTTTCAATTTTCACATGTAACTAAAATAGGTGGGGTAAAGAAAAAATAAGGGAGTGCATGTAAAAATTGAAAAAAAGAGGAAAGATGTGTAAAATAAAAGTACTAAATTAAATGTTGTGGATGTAAAATTAAAAATTTAAAACAAAAAATTAAGAATATTTTAAAATTTTAATTATTTTTTTTAAAAGGAAGTGTACTTATAGAAAAAAGGAGGTATATATATCATGCTCCTAACGTATATAAACGTAAAAACTCGTTAAAGCCCAAAATCGTTACGAAGGCCCAACAACTTCGTAACCCTAAACCCATTTACTTCGAACTCAGGGCAACAGATATAAATATTAATCTCCACGCCGTTTCTTCTTCTTCAGCCACATAGCTCCTTCTCTGCAGCATTAGGGTTTTTCATCTGCTTCAATGGTACCACCTCTACTCCCTGTCTTTGTGTATAATCTAAGATTCCGTGTGTTCGGAGATGTTGTGTTGTGATTTTGACGAGTGTGTGTAAATGGATCGCAGGGGAAGGGAACAGGGAGTTTCGGTAAGAGAAGGAACAAGACTCACACTCTCTGTGTGAGGTGCGGCCGCCGTAGCTTCCACCTCCAGAAGAGTCGCTGCGCTGCCTGCGCTTTCCCCGCTGCGCGCAAGAGAAAATGTAACTCTTCCTCTTTCCTCGAAAACCAGCCATTATTCCTCCTTATTAGGGTTTATTTTTGTTGTTATCTTACATTGATTGTGATTAACGATTTCAGATAACTGGAGCGTCAAGGCAATCCGCAGAAAGACCACCGGAACTGGGAGGATGAGGTACTTGCGTAACGTGCCTCGCCGATTCAAGAGTGGCTTCAGAGAAGGTGCTTTCATCATTTTTTATCATCTGATATTTAACTATTGTGTTTTTTTTTATTTGTAATGAATACGTTTGTGTTTGTTGGTCATTGTTTTGTTAATATGATTTTTTCTGTTGGTATTTTGAATCAGGTACTGAAGCTGCACCAAGGAAGAAGGGAGCAGCTGCCACTGCTTAAACCTTTGAATGATTGTTGTTTGCTGGGTACGGAATTACAGGATTAGATTATTTTTGTGGTTTTGGCAATTATCTTTGAACACTTATTATAGCAGCCTCATTGCTACTTTTTCTCTCATTTAATTTGTAGTTGCTTTATATTTCAACAAGATCATTACAAGACTTATTGATTGTTCAGTTGTTCTGTATGACACTTATAGTTTATGGTTTAAGCTGTTTTCGATTGGTGAATATTGAATATTGAATTGTTATAAACCACTCCCCCTACCATACAATACTACCGCAAGCATTCATCATGAATTTTGCCATGGTGATAACGAGAGAGAGAGCCTTATTTGTTGAGGGAAGGTAGTTTAGGTAACCTGGTTTGACTAGTCAGTCTAGTGTCTTGAATTTAAGTGCCAATTAGGTCATTGTTGAACAGAGTGTTGAACAGAGTGTTCCTTAGTTAAATTTTTATATTTTGATTTCTTTATATTATTATTTAGTATACCAAGTGTCTTAATGTGATCATGACTAATATCATAAAGAGATTTGTAGAGTAACAATCTAGAAATTTGCATTGTAGCGTTTTATAAATTGTCCTATCTATATGCATTTGAAGTGCGGTAGACCATAGTCGAGTATTACTAGTCAATGCAAAATTGTTTGTACTTAACCACCTTCTATCCGACTTTGAATTAATCTCTAGGATGATAAATTCCTTGCTTTATATTGAACAGTTTCTTCCAAATCCCCCTTCTCCAAACACGTAATATTCATTTAATTTATTCAAATACTTTTCGTACTTGTATGGTTACATTGTTTTTTACTCATAGTTTTCTGATAATTTATTCTTATAATTAATTTTAAAATCATTTTTGTTTTTAGTTAGATGAATGTATTAACATTATAATCGTTAATGTTCTTTCTTTGTGTTGAGCTATGACGAATGTGAGGAATTGGGCTCGTTGAAATTCCGTTAGATCCCTGCCATTCATGTGGATAGCAGTGATCTTCAGAAAATGAAAATATAGTAAGAGAATAATTGAATTGAATTTCATTAAATTGTTATTTTCAGAATTTACATGTTTACCCGAAGAAACCTAAATTGAGTACAAAGGGGTGGTCGGAAAAAATGTTGGTAGATAAGCTCCAAAAAAATGTTGCGTAACAATGAAATCAAATGATGCATACATTTAATACGTATATGTTTGGCGAATTAAAGCGTAACATTTTTAAAATCTTTATTTTTTATATTTAAAGGTGTTTGGATTCATGTCATAGTATTAGACCGAAGATGTGTTGGGCCTCGTTTACTTTATGTGTTGAGCGACTCCGAGTCATTATGACAGAGAGCTTAAGTTTGATGCTTTGTGCGTCTCTTGATTGGGGACGGGAGCATCAAATTTCTTTTTGACGGTAAAAACATTCATTACCTATGTTCGGTGCATGGTTTCAGCGTCTATTGCTTTCATATGTGCATATTCTTATTTCTCATTCTTTCATGCTCTATTTTCCTCTAGGAAATCCAAAAAAGGGTGGTGTATTCTTATTCTTTTTTCGTTCCGGTCTCCAGTCATGATTCACACGAAATTATATAGTTTCATATTTTATTGTATTCATTAAGCTGGTGCATTAATACATGTCAAGCAGTTAAATAATTTTACATCTTATAAATTTATTAGCAAAAGAATTCCATCATGGTTAAATTTCCTTACTCTAACAGGATTCTTTATGCAGGACAAATGTCACAGTTGAATAAGGTTGTATTCAATTTCTTAAGTGATTTTAGAGAAAAATTAAATATACATAAATAGTTAGTAACTTGTAAGACCCATTTGTTCGCAAGGATAAAGTAAGATAAGCTATTTTGTCATGTTTTACTCGTCTGTTTCGTACTTTGGTGTGACGGCGTGATATGATTACTTTGTTTTATAACAATTAAAATTTAGAATTAAGTTATTATATATACAAATAAATACTCGTAATTTTCTATCTCTTACCCATTGTTCAATGTTCAATCTTGCTTCACTTTTAATTCATTCTCCTTGTGTTGAATGTCGTCTTTCTTTAGAGCACCTCCCATAGTCGTTTTCTTTATCTTTATCTCATTCCTACTTTATCAACTAACTATGCCTAAACCCCAACTCAAAATTATCTCAACTCTAATATAGCTTTAATTGATCATCACTTATGTCTTGTCTATCCTTCCTAAAGATACGCAGTAATAATGAATTTCAGTATTATATAAAATAACTATTTATTTTACATATCTGTACTATTAATAAATATGATATTTTATTTTGACCTTATTTTCATTTATCATTAGTACTGCCTCTATTTTTTTATTATATTAATTTATCTTTTCTAATATAATCGGCTATTTCTCTTATTTCAATTTTTTTTTCTTTTCTATTTTTATTCAAGAAAATATTACTTAAAAATTAAAGTAATATATTTTTGTTAAAAATATATATACACACCATCTCCCTCGTGATTTTATTAAAAATGTTTACATATTAATTTCTTAATTAGTATATAAAGACACACCTTCACACATTGTATCTTTCTTATTAGTTATAATAATGGATAAAAATAAGGGAGTTGTTACGATTCCTTCAAAGATCGAGGGATTTCAATACATTCTTTTATGTAAATTCATAAAAAGATCTAAAAAAAATTAATTTAATTACAAAATAAATAATTCAAATTATATTTATAAAATAAAAAGTAAGATAAAATTATAGAGTTTAAAATTATAAAATTTTAATAATGTTATAAAACATTAAAAAAGAAAAGAAAAAAAATAGTAAAAATAAAAAATTATTAAAATTACAATATAAAAATTTAAAAATTTAAGACAAAAAGACAAAAATATACTTAAAAAATAATTCAAATTAAAATATGGAAATTCAAATATTTTAAGTGAAAAGACAAAAATATACTTAAAAAATTATTAAAATTAAACTATTTAAAATAAAATATCATAAATATTATTTAAATAAATTATTAATATAAAATATAAAATAAAATTATAATTACAACTGTACCCTCTCAGACAATATGGGTATCATAGAATTTCTCTATAAAAAAAAAATAATTACGATAACAATTGAATGACTTGTCATATTTATAGGTGATGTATTAATGAAAAAAAAGTGGGGCAAGACAAGCATGTGATTGTCACACTCCCTATCAGACATTTCACATCACAATGCCAACTCATTGGCCACTCATCAGTCCAGTTTATTACAAGTCAGCCACTCATTGATATGAATGTATATTATTTTTTATCTATGACTTTTCTATAATATCTAATGCATAATTTAGATAGCTTTGTTTTTAATTTCGTGATCTAAATATGTTAATTTTGTAAAATTTGTAATTTTAATAATTTCGTTAAATATTTATTTGTACATAATTAAAATTGTAATATTAAATTTGAACTATTATTAAATAGATAATATAATAAATAATACATAATAATATTTTATTTTAATTTTTATTAATTTCTTTTTTATCTCATAAAAATAATAAAATGAGACAAAAATTAAAAAATTAAAATTATAGTTAATTTAAATATTAATTATTGTGTCCAACATTATAATTTGAACTATTAAGGATAAACATTTAGAAAAAGGATTAAAATTGAAAATTTTACAAAATCAAAAGTTTAAAGTGTATAATTAAAATTAAAGAAACTAAAATTACTGATTTAATATTATAATAAATTAAAATATAATCAAATATAAATTTAATCTAGTCACAAGCTAAGTATGTGCGGAACCAAACGTTCAAAGTTCGAGTCTTTTGATGGTAAAGTTGTGTATTTTCTGCTTAGTTTTTGTTAGAGTACAGTAGTTGGGATTGCTTGTCGGAAAAAATTGGTTTTGGGAAATGTAAAAGTTGAAACCAAATAAGAGCACCTTCGTATAAAGGTTAAGCGGCTAATTTGGTGTACTTTTAAAAATAAATTATCAAAATGGGGTTGTTTTGAAACATATTATATCTTTGGGGCTGTTTTCTTGGGTGTCACTATGGGTCATAGCGACACTCATGACACGTGGCGTTTTTTTTTTTTCGTCTTGATTGGGCTGTGATGAGCCACATCAGTGTCGCTATGAGCTGAACCACCACCGTTGATGGACTAACAAAAACAATGTAGCCCATAACGACACTTTGTAAAGAAAAAAAAATGAAAATAAAATAATACTATTTTTAAAACTGGCGCTATGGGCCATAGCGCCTTAGTGGAGCTATGGGCCATAGCGCCCCAGTGCAGCTATGAGTCATAGCGCTCCATTTTTTTTTTCCCTTTTTAAAATATTTTCACTTAAAATTATATACTTAATTTATTTTTTTCACTTCTTAATTTATGTTATCAAAATATAAATCTATATTTTATCCAAAAATTTTTTATAATTATATATCAAATGTTATATTTATAAAATAAAACATATAATTTTAAAACTGGCGCTATGGGCCATAGCGCCCCATTTTTTTTTCCTTTTTAAAATATTTTCACTTTAAATTATATACTTAATTTATTTTTTTCACTTCTTAATTATACCATGAAATATAGATAATATAAATTAAAAAGTGAAAAAAATAAATTAAGTATATAATTTAAAGTGAAAATATTTTAAAAAGGAAAAAAAAAAATGGGGCACTATGGCCCATAGCGCCAGTTTTAAAATTATATGTATTTTATAAATATAACATTTGATATATAATTATAAAAAAATTTCGGATAAAATATAGATTTATATTTTGATAACATAAATTAAGAAGTGAAAAAAATAAATTAAGTATATAATTTAAAGTGAAAATATTTTAAAAAGGGAAAAAAAAATGGGGCGCTATGGCCCATAGTTGCACTGGGGCGCTATGGCCCATAGCTCCACTAAGGCGTTATGGCCCATAGCGCCAGTTTTAAAAATAATATTATTTTATTATTCTCATTTTTTTTTCTTTACAGAGTGTCGCTATGGGCTACATTATTTTTTTTAGTCCATCAACGGTGGTGGTTCAGCCCATAGCGACAATGATGTGGCTCATCACAGCCCAATCAAGACCAAAAAAAAAAACGTCACGTGTCATGGGTGTCGCTATGACCCATAGCGACACCCAAGAAAACAGTCACAAAGGTATAATATGTTTCAAAACAACTCCATTTTGATAATTTGTTTTTAAAAGTGCACCAAATTAGTCGTAGCCGTTTATTTATTATTTGTAATGTGAGTTTAATTAAGTTAT